TTATTATAGTTAATGGAAGATTTTCAGAAAGTTCGGGAGATTTTACATTTGTTGGCCCAACTGGATGTAGTACCCCAGACTATTTCTGTGTTAGTCATGGGCTTTTTCCATTTATTAGAAATTTTGAGGTATTGACTCGGACTGAGTCAGATCATCTACCATTGTTATTTTCTATCAGTGTTGAGTTTCCCCCAGCAGACATGTCGATTGTATCCTTTACCTCCCATGACAGGGACAATAAGGTCTGTACTGATCGTGTCAGGTATAGATGGAAACCAGAGCTGGCTTCTAGATATATACAGAATTTGACATCTGAACAGGTTTATATTAAACTAAATGATTTTTCTCAAAATATTTATGTTGATATTAATGCAGCAGTCATTGATTTGGTAGCGGTATTGAGTTGTTGTGGTTCAGAAATGAAGAGTAAGGCATTTATTTGTAAATTATATAAGCAGCCAGAGTGGTTTGATTTAGATTGTGTAAATGCTAAAAAGGTTAAGTATAGATTGTTAAATGATTTAAGAAGAACATCTACCAAGGAGGACTTTCTTCAGTATAAGCAAGCTCAGAGAAGTTTTAAAGCTTTATGTAATAAGAAACAAAAGTTGTGCAAACAAAAGGTCAGTGATAATCTGACCGAAGCAGCTGGTAATAAAGATATTAAGACATTTTGGGAAATTATTAAGAAATACACCAATAAACAAGCAACTTTTAATAAGATAGAGCCAGATATGTGGGTAAGCCACTTTAGTAAATTGTTGAACCAGGAAGTTTATGCTGGTAAGGAGAACATCTACCAAGGAGGACTTTCTTCAGTATAAGCAAGCTCAGTGAAGTTTTAAAGCTTTATGTAATAAGAAACAAAAGTTGTGCAAACAAAAGGTCAGTGATAATCTGACCGAAGCAGCTGGTAATAAAGATATTAAGACATTTTGGAAAATTATTAAGAAATACACCAATAAACAAGCAACTTTTAATAAGATAGAGCCAGATATGTGGGTAAGCCACTTTAATAAATTGTTGAACCAGGAAGTTTATGCTGATATGGAATTTTCTGAGACAGTTGTTGATGTTGTGTCAGTTCATGATGCTACAGATTGCCTTATGTGTACTAATAGTGATGATATATTGTCGGCAGATTTTACAGCATCTGAAGTAACTAGAGCTATAACAAATCTAAATTCAAACAAATCTCCAGGGGATGATGGTATCCCAAATGAGTTTTTTAAATGTGGTGTCAATACCTTAACCCCCTATTTAACTTTATTGTTTAATCAGATATTGAGAAACGGACAGTTTCCAGAAGCCTGGACATCTAGTATTATCATACCTTTGTTTAAAAAGGGCAGTGTAAGTGATCCCAATAATTTTCGTGGCATCTCTCTTTTGAATTCCATGAGTAAAATTGTTGTATCAATACTTAATTCTAGGTTGGAGTATTTTGTTGAATCTCATCAAATTATCGGTGAATACCAGGTAGGTTTCAGACGTGAACATTCCACCTGTGATAACATTTTTATTTTACAGTCTATGGCTCAGAAATTCATAACGCGCAAAAAGGGAAAATTTTACTGCGCATTCATAGATTTTCAGAAAGCCTTTGATAGAGTTAGTCATGATAAGTTATTATTTTTATTGTTACAAAATGGTATACATGGACAATTTTATAATGTTATCAAGAGTATGTATGATAATGTGAAATCTGCTGTTGTAGTTAATGGTGGTAGAAAATTATCAGAATATTTTTCTTGTACTATTGGTGTTCGCCAGGGATGTACATTAAGTCCCCTGCTGTTCTCCATATTCATTAAAGAGCTTGTTGATTATATTAGCAAGTCTTTTGATGATGGTATATTTATATCCGAAGAAATGTAGAATATTCTTGCTCTCCTTTTTGCTGATGATCTCATTCTTGTAGCAGACACCCCTCTTAGATTGCAAAAGCAATTAGATCAGCTTGCTGTTTATTGTTTTAAGTGGGGAATGGAGTTAAATATGGATAAGTCAAAAATAATAGTTTTTAAGAATGGAGGTAAACTTTCTAGATATGAGAATTGGACATATAATGGTGTTAAAATGGAAACTGTAAGTTTTTATAAATATTTGGGGTTGATGGTAACACCAAAGCTTGTTTGGACTAAAGCATGTAAAGTATTATCAGAGCAAGCTAGTAAAGCATTAATCCCAGTAAGGTCTTTGATAAGGAAATTTGATATTCCAGTGGAAAATTCATTTCAAATTTTTTGACAAGAAAATTATGCCAATTCTTACATATGGTAGTGAAATATGGGGTTTTATGGAGAGGGAGAGTATAGAAATTGTTCATAGAAAGTTTTGTAAATTTATTTTGAATATTTCTTATAAGTTACCAAATGCAGTAGCCTATGGAGAATGTGGCAGACGTCCACTTAAAGTTGTATATTATGTCAAATGTATAAAATATTGGTTACGGCTTATCGCCATGTCCAGAAGTAGGTACCCATATCAGTGTTATCAAATGCTAAGAAGTTGTTGTGATAGGAAACAACCTAATTGGGCCACTCGTGTTAGAAATGTATTATGTTTTTATGGTTTTGGAGTAGTATTTGTATCGCATGAAGTGGGAGATGAGCAGTTATTTCTAAACATATTTAAGCAAAGAGTGTTGGATTGTGCAACACAGGATTGGCATTCAGATGTGGAACAAAAGAAAGTGCTTGTTTTTTATTCCTCATTTAAATCTTTGTTAGAATGTGAAAAATATGTGGTTTGTATAAATGTACCTAAATTTAGAAGAGCGTTGTTAAAATTCAGAAGTGGTTTTAATTCATTTGGAATCCAGAATGTAAGAAAAGGTAAATGTGTTAAAGAGGATAAAGAAGCAATTTGGGTTTTTTGTAATGTTCTTGAGAATGAAAATCATATTATATTTCAATGTCCTAGGTATGAAGATAGCCGAAAGGTTTTTCTAGAGGAGTTGAGAAAAAAGAATAAATCATTTGTTACTATAAATATGTTGTGTACATCAGATCAAAGTGAGATTTTATATTATTTCTCCAGATTTCTATATACTATTTTCAGTATCAGAGGGGATGTCTAAAATTTTTACAGTTATGACTATTTGAAATGTTTCAGGGTTCACTGTACTAAGAAAAGAAAACAACTAACTGAAGCGTCTGGAAAATCTTAGTTTGTCAGATTTATATAACACTTTATATAATCCCATCATTGTCAGTATGCTATCTGTTTCTATATTTATATTGAGGTTTATTAGCTAATAGAGCGCATCCAAAATATATTGTAACTATGGGTCATGTGGCCTTCTTTACTGAATAAAATTCTGTCTAGACTGTCTGTCCGTCTGACTTCCACTTTGTGTAACTTTATTGGAGCATGAACCTTCATAGAGTGATGGCCAAACTGTACGAACGTCGGAGCGTTCACAAAGTGAAAGTCAATTCTTATAATTTATATATCACTATTTCATACCTTGCGGGATGTAACGCTAGATCTATACGTGTGACCTCTTGTTTACACCGAAGTTGTATCGCGGAATAAAATATTCCCCCCAAAAGAGGTCACACGAGCGTACGTATGCTCAAATTGCTTTTCAGGAGCATCTGTTTTAGTTTGTTTTCAAAAATGTATTCCAATAATATCCTCATTAGATGAGAAAGGTCTATTGAGAACTACCCCAGTAAGTCAGTCAAAATGGCCGACACGATAAACGTGGCGGGAGAGATTTCCGAAGTCGTTTATGAACCTGTGGCCATTTCAAGTGTTAGTCATGACTTATCAATTGGACGATCATTGAGAGGGGATTGTAACGATGCATCAATTAGATATTTAGGTACATTCATAGATTGCTGTGGACTGTCACAGCGAAAGTTTGGATGTGTATTTCATCGTTTTGTTTTCTTGGATATCATTGAACGGTCATGCAATCAAACTCTCCGACGTATCCCAATGTACGCTAAAGCGCTAAGTTCAAAATTAAAGGGTCTAAATGATGTATGTAATTCGTGTTAGGGAATTCCCAGGGATTTCCCAAAGGAATATGCAAGTAGTCCGTCAGTGTTTACGTCATTTTAAGAATGCATTCGCGTAAAACACGTATGAACGTCAAGTTTCGCGGTCATGTGTCCGACCTCTCGTCCAAAGGAAAAGCCGTATATCGTGTAAACTTCACATTAAAAAATATTTACTGTTATAACCAAATAAAACCCAACCAATTGTCCGATAGAGGTAACTGTGCACAGCGGAGGGATATGTTATCTCAAAAGACTGGGTAACATGGTTTGGTTTGACGTCTTGGCGCGTGTCTGAATTCCATTAACAGGTTTCATATCCTAAAACTGACTTCTCAGCAAGTCTCGGGGCACTGCACGCTACAGAAACTGGAGCAAGGCATGCCAGAGATACAAATCCTAATGCTCCTTAAAGGGGGACTTGGACAGGGGACATGGGACCAGCGCCATCTGATTGTTTTTGTTTGTTTGTTGTTTTACGCCGCACTCAGCAATATTCCAGCTATATGACGGCGGTCTGTAAATAATCGAGTCTGGACCAGACAATCCAGTGATTGACATCATGAGCATCGATCCATGATCAGCGAGCCTGACCACCCGATCCCGTCTACATCTGGCCCGTGTAATCAATACCTATGTTATTACATGAAGACGTGGCCCGTGAAGATCCGGAGTAGAATAGGTCTTCAGCAACCCATGCTTGCCGTAAAAGGCGACTATGCTTGTCGTAAAAGGCGACTAACGGGATCGGGTGGTCAGGCTCGCTGACTTGGTTGATGCATGTCATGGATCCCCATAGCGTGGATCGATGCTCATGATGTCAATCACTGGATTGTCTGGTCCAGACTCGATTATTCACAGACCGCCGTCATATAGCTGGAATATTGCTGAGTGCGGCGTAAAACAACAAACAAGCAAACATTAAGATGTACAGTAACGTGTGAATTGGAATTCCATTGATAACCCTAACATGCTATTTTAACCTTTCAGACTGCAATCAGAATGGAGAAAGATTTCTCCAAAGGTAAACTCCAGCGTGCTGTCCTTGTCCTGGCAATTGTAGGAGTAATCATCTTATTGACGGTCGCCAGAACATACCAGCCAGGGAGATTTTATCTGCCAGGGATGGAAACCTACAACAAACATGGTACATGTCCAGATGTACTCAAATATATGGTGGCAGGTTCATGGGCCACTCGTCCTATCACACAGAAAGAGGAAGATGAGATCGAAGCCTTTTTACTACAAGGCCTCTACGCTGTAAATGGCAGCAATAATTTCGAACTGATGGACAAAAGATGCGGGAACCTGGGCTACTATCCATGGAAGTCAAGCGAGAGAATGGCAGACTGGACAAGAGCACTGTGTAACCCCAGGGGAAGTAACCCTTGTTGCTATAACAACACGTGTCAGATGAAAACAGTCGAGGAATGTAACTGTACGGACTGCTATGACCTTCGACCTCAGTTACATGCTGAATATTCGAAATGGATTCCCAACGATGGCAGGTAATTTGGTAGAAATAATTAACCTAAAGCACTTATTTGTTGTTCCTTTCGAGTAAAATATTAATTCAAACTATTCTGTGTAGAATCTTGAGGAATGTCATACAGTGCTCTTCTCCGATGTTAACATGACTATAACTTAGACTTTAGTATGTTTGTCAATTACCGCGCCACTTGACGATGTCAGAGACCATATATATGGTCTCTGATGATGTATTCGTGAAATTGTATAAGCTCTTAGTCTTTCGTTTGGAGAATATCATATCACACTGCAAAATTGTTGCCCTCATGAAATATTCAAAGTGCTTTAATATAACGAAATGTCTGCAAAACGTTGGTTTCACAATTTTCGCAATCCTATAATTCAGGTGAGTTACAGGACGTTGTTGCTCTCTTTTCCCATGTATGGATTGTCCCAAAGGAAAGAAGACCCACGCAGTGAACGGTAGATTCTAAGATCAGCAACAGTGTTTGTCACAGCCACTGTGGCATCTGTTATGCAATTAATACAGACGCGCATACCATGTATAGGTGAGGTGAAATTGGGTTTAACGTCGCGTCCAAGATTATTGCACTTATATAGCGACGTGCATGTACCTGTGTGTGTTTGTGTGGCTGCTTGTACTAGTCCGGACTGATGCCGATTTATAGTGCTAGCTCACTGAGATACCATGCCGCAGTTTAACATGAATACCCCACTCAGACACAGTATACTGACTCCGAGACGACCAGTCCTTGTTTTAGCCCCTTAATGCCGAGCGCCAGACAGGGTAACAACAAGTACCATATTTTAATGTCTTTTGGTATGACGCGGTCGGGGATCGAACCCCGGACCTTCCGCTCTCCGGGCGGACGCTCTACCACTAGACCACGGAGGCGGTAAATAAAATAATAACAGCCATTGTGCAATGTAGATATAAACTGGTATAAAGACAAAAAAGAAAAACATTGAGAAATTTGTTTGCGTGGGAATTTGAAACATCTCGAATAAGGAAACATAAGGAAACATAAGAAAACAAAGCCAAATGAAAATTTAGAATAAGCTTAATCTGTATTACAATCATCGGATGATTGTCAAGGCAAACTGGATGTTGGTTGGTTGCTTTGTTGTTTAACGCCGCACTCGGCAATATTCCAGCTATATGACGGCGGTCTGTAAATAATCGAGCCTGGACCAAATAATCCAGTGATTAATATCATGAGCATCGATCAACGCAATGGGGATCGATGACATGCATCAACCAAGTCAGCGAGCCTGACCACCCGATCCCGTTAATCGCCTTTTACGACAAGCATAGTCGCCTTTTACGGCAAGCATGGGTTGCTGAAGACCTATTCTACCCCTGATCTTCACGGGTCAAACTGGATGTAGACACTGCAATGTTCATACAATCATAATTATAGTGATTGAAAATTGGTGTGGATATATTGTTTTAATTAATACGATGAAAAAAATCAGTTGTTATAAGAACCCTTGAATATGTCTATAAACTTATATATACATGTAGGGTCTTCTGTGTCTGATTAAAAAAAATAATTCTAATTTTTAAAATAAAAAAACAACATAACAATATATATTTTTATTTATCACATTGAAATATAATCATGGTAATATTTGGCGACAAACAGCCACCCTTCGTCCATAAAATCTTTTTTTATACAATATGCACTAATGAACCCTTACATAATAAATATCAGTGATAGATTTCAGTGATTTCCATTTCTTTATTTTGAACATTATATTATGATATCTAGTTGATCACTGAATTTATCAGTGCCTGTTGCTTTTACAATTTCTTGAAAACATTTCTCACTTCTCTCAGTTATATCCTGACCAATACTTACACGTGTCTCTTTCAAAATTCATAACATTTAGGCTACTGACAACTTTATGTTGCATAAGACCTCCACATTTCGCCTACCGCATCGCCTTACCGCTGTACTGAAAAGCACGCATGTGATGTAGCCTGCTTGTTGATCCTACAACCTAGATACTACAATCATCAACTCTTCCTTAGGGCAGGGGTCGAAGTTGGCAAAAGGACATGCATGACCTACATATACTTCATTAAGTGCCTTTTTTCTGCAGAAGTCTTAGTAACTCTAATACAGATAGCGGTTATATCATTTTCACATTTTTGTCAATCTTACATCGTATTCCACCAAGGATATCATATTTGGTTTATGTGCTGAAATGATGTTTTTGAAATATCTGTCACTGATATTGAAGGTCAAATTCACTGTCAATGTCAAAAGTGATAAACCATGAAGGGTTGAAGGTCAAGGCAATAGTGAAGGTCATTCATAAAGTATTTTTCCATTATCACTAAAATGCCAATTTCTGGAGATATTTGTGAAATATTATGCATGTAGTGTTATATGTTATATTATTTGAATACACATGTATGAGCAGTGGTTACAAGTCACAGTGACCTAATTTCAATGAGTAGCATAAGACATATTTCATTGTTACATATAGGTCTGCCTAGGGCCTTCATAAGTGGTTTAATTTCTGGATAGCACTTTGCAATTGTTTTTGAAAGAGGCGCAACTGATACTGAAGGTCAAATTAACTCTTAATGCCTTTCAGTAAAAAATGCTTCACAGTAACTGAGGAAGAGCTCTCTGTAGTGTCACCCTCAGAGTGAGGCAAATTGTGTTTCATAGTTCAATGAAGCTGGTATGTCTAGATATAACAAGTACTTGTACCGTTACAAATAATCATATTATATTCTCACCAGCACCAAAGGCCCAAGTGAGCACCCTGTCGATGACTTTATACTTTTACTCAGGACAAACTGGAAGTCTGATCATGAAATTTAAGAATATCATCATACATGTATTAGAACTGATGTGTGTTCATTAAATAGCTTAACATCTGAAAAGAAACATACATGAAATTGAAAAATTGTCTTCTCCAAAAGTCCATGCCCAGAGATCTCAGCTTTAAGGGTATATTTACAACTAAAATAACACAGAATATTACTACAGCTATCTGCTATGTCCAGGCTAACATTATTTACTAGAAAAACGACATCTAGAAACATTTCATCCGGATTCCTTCAGCAATCTTCAATTTTCTTGGTTAGTTTTAAACATATTTTTAGGTGTTAGTCAGAAAGAGGTTTCCGGTGGGGTATCCGGTGCCGGATCCTTGGACATCCAGATTGAGGTATCCGGTGCCGGATACCCGGATTCCAGGAGGCATGCTTTCCAGTGAGATGTCCAATGCCGGATACCACGGAGGTATCCGGAAGGGATCCGGAAAACGGATACTGCATTTTTGTGGCTGTGCAGTTTGCCTAAAGAATGTGTGGATCATGTATATAAGTCCCTTTTACACCACGCCGATTCCCCAAATTGTAATAAATGGATAACGTGATATATTCCTGCATCTGCCGAAACGAATGAGGTTTGACATAGGGTTTTCTGTGTCAAATGAAAACAAAACATGAATTCAAATCCATAAATTTGATTCATTGAGTATTGAATGTTTGTGGCGTCTTCATTTGTTCCAGAAGTTGATCTCTGCAATATAAAATAGCGTATATACAGTCTACTTATACTACATATAACATTTCACAAAAAAGTATTGTATTCATTAGTATAGAAAGTTTCAAAACTTGTTTAGTACTTAAACTGTATTTCAAAATCTAGAGACATGTCTGGGACTGTTGCAACACAGTAGTCCATTAATGGGCGCGTAAGCATATATTCATAGTTTATCCAAAAAGATAACATATATTGTATAATTGCCTAAAATTTAGGAAAAAATTATAAATTTAATATCCACATTTATAACGTCGGATCGAAAATATCTCAGGCAACATATATTAAGTAACAAAATTGTGAATTGAGTACCATAATATGTTTGTTTGTTGTTTTACGCTGCACTCAGCAATATTCCAGCTAAAGACGACGGTCTGTAAATAATCGAGTCTGGACCAGTCAAACCAGTGATTGACATCATGAGCACCGACCCACGCAATTGGGATACGATACCATGCATCAAGCAAGTGTGCGAGCCTGACCACCTACAATAAGAAACACATAACGTAATATGGTTTCCATATCATACTCCGATCTTAAAGGAATGGATTCTTGGCAGACAAACCAGTGATTAATATTATGAGCCACGTCCCACAACCTCGGTAGGAGTACAATTACCGTTCCTTTTGTCGCTCCATTGGCAGCTGCTAGTACAATCATGGCTTATTGGAGACCTATTCTAAAGAAATCCAAACGGGAATAGTCATGTTAAACAGGCATTTTCACTAAGTACGACTCAACTCGTCATCGCTGCGCGGTTTATAGCTACAGTGCGATCTCGTAGCGAGAATTGTAACCAGACTCGTGCGATCACCTTTTTCCCCTCTTATTGTCAAAAACCGCCTCCGTGGTCTTGTGGTAGAGCGTCCGCCCGGAGAGCGGAAGGTCCAGGGTTCGATCCCGGCCGCGTAATACAAAAAGACGTTAAAAGATTGTACTTGTTGTTACCCTGTCTGGCGCTCGGCATTAAGGGGCTAAAACAAGGACTGGTCGGCTCGGAGTCAGTATACTGTGTCTGAGTGGGGTATTCATGTTAAACTGCGGCATGGTATCTCTGTGAGCTAGCACTATAAATCGGCATCAGTCCGGACTAGTACAAGCAGCCACACACACACATACACGTGCATGCACGTCGCTATATAAGTGCAATAATCTTGGACGCGACGTTAAACCCCATTTCACCTCACCTCACCTTATTGTCAAAAAGTTTCAGAAAACCAAGTATCATATGAAATTTATTTGTTACTACATTTATTGAACATAATATAGTTCATTTTCGTTAAATATAATTCTGTCGTACAGTACATGGAAAAAATATTGAGATATATATGGTTGCAATCAATTTCAACGTATTTTTCATTGGTGCAAATTGGCTATATCTATCTCACCTTAATAATCCCAAAATATGATCCAACTCACTGACAATATAGATTATAATAACTTTTTACTATCGACTAGCTTATCACCACACCACCGAGGACCAATTACCGCAAATTAAACCAGACTTTACTTTTCAGTAGTCGCTCTCACGCCGCATAAAGTGCGCACCAAATTATTTGACTGTAATATTGCTATGACACTTTATGACAAAACAGTGGCTAACAAAACAAGTGAAGTTTTATCTTTCTCATATAAGCTTTGTTTGTCATTAGACTTTTAGTATGCAGGTTACTTCGTAAATAGATACTAGTATATATGTTTAAATATAATAAAACTAAGAGATTGTAGATCTGCAAATGGTTTCCTAAACATTATTTACAAAACAGTTTTGCGATGCCCAACGCTCAACGTTAATTTGCAGTGTAACATAATACTAGTGAGTGAGTGAGGTTTTACGCCGCTTTTAGCAATATTCCAGCAATATCACGGCGGGGGACACCAGAAATGGGCTTCACACATTGTACCCATGTCGGGAATCGAACCCGGGTCTTCGGCGTGACGAGCTAACGCTTTAACCACTAGGCTACCCGACCGCCCCAACATAATACTAACGTCATAGAGGAATGCTATTATGTTCTGGAGATTTTAGTATTAAGAGATGAAAATCAAAATGCCGAATATATAGGAAAGTAATGCATTACTGCCTTGGTATTCTGCCGAAGTCAAGTTGATTTTGATGAAGCAGTTCTATCCATGAAGAGGGCACGGGTGGCCCAGTCGTCTAAGGCGCCGGGATTCGCTGTGCAGAATTGCGTCCCTTCGGCACGCCAGAAACCTATGATTGTGGGTTCGAATCCGGTTCGCCACGATTATGTTTCTAGGTTTGTCAGCACCATACCCGTGCTCGTGGGTTTCACCGAAGTGGTAAACGTCTGAGACCTGCCTCACTTCGGGCTTTCCTCCCACATTAAGCTGACACGCCGCGATATAACTGGAATGTTAAAAGTGGCGTTAAACCCAACTCACTCACTCACCCTCTCACTTACTCTATTCCATGACTATGACAAGAAGCAAACTGTATAACGTTTCACCGACGTAGTTATAAAACGTTATGTGATGTCCGATGCACAACGTTTTCACAACGTAAATGTGCAACGTTGTTCTTACGTTATGAAATAACTTTGCATGGTGACGTAATAATAGCTTTAATTTGTGACAACGTTGTGTCACGACGTTACCAATTCACAACCTTTTCCACAACGTTGTGCCAACGTTGTGTGTTAGCTAGGAAAACCCTCTCCATGTTCACAAGAATTCCCTGCTACTCAGTAATACACATATTGTGTTTAAACATGGATTGACTACAGACTAAAAACCATCCACTGTAACATTTTAATATTTGCCTACAACTAGAAATGGACATAGGGAACCCCGATGCTTCGTGGACCAGTTAGGGTCTAGTGGTAGAGCGCCCGCCCGGAGAGCGGAAGATCCGTGGTTTGATCCCCGGCCGCGTCATACCGAAAGACGTTAAAATAATGTACTTGTTGTTACCCTGTCTGGCGCTCGGCATTAATGGGCTAATGCAAGGAGTGGTCGACTCGGTGTCAGTAAACTGTGTCTGAGTGAGGTAACGCGGCATGATATCTCAGTGAGCTAGCACTATAAATCGGCATCAGTCCGGACTTGTACAAGCAGCCACACACACACTCTCTCACACACACTCTCTCTCTCTCTCACACACACACACACACACACACACACACACACACACACACACACACACACACACACACACACACACACACATGCATGCATGTCGTTATATAAGTGCAATAATCTTGGACGCGACGCTCAACGCAATTTCACCTCACCTCACCTCACCTCACCTCACCTCACCTCACCTGATGCTCCGTAATACAGAAATAATCAGGATCTATTCTTTTCAGATGTCAAGTAAAAACATTCTCACCCAACGCTGCCTGTGAGCTCCTCCGGGGAGGCACCTACCACTTTTACGGCGACTCCATCGTCAGAATGGTGTTTCTGGCCCTCATCATCATACTCAAGGGAGACAATCAATATGGAGGACTTCGCCCCGATACACCTACTGGTATGCAAACCTTTTCTTTCCGGGGATTCCAGTCATTGATAAGGAGAAACGAGATTGTACCCTGATGGTGCCTTTATTCAATATTGATGAATTAGAACTTACCAGATTTGTTTATACGTTATCAAGTGTATATTTAGATTGGAAACAACCAACACTGTGACTTTCATATTTCATAAAAAAATAACATTTGGTTAGGAGAAATAAACTGAGCATAGGACAGTTTAAAGTCTAGCAAAAGATGGATGAGTATGGCTTTACGCCGCTTTTAGCAATACTCCAGAAATATCATGGCGGGGGACACCAGAAATGGGCTTCACACATTGTACCCATGTCGGGAATCGAACCCGAGTCCTAGGCGTGACGACCGAACGCTTTAACCACAAGTCTACCCGACCGCCCCTCTAGCAAAAGAAGTCAACCTGACACGTATTTGTTTCTTTACAGACATAAAGAAAAGATGTTCTGGGATGTATGTATTTCCAACCCGTAACTGTCGAGCGTATTTGGACTACACGCCGACACTCTGCAACGGGACGGTAACAGTGCTGTTCCGTCATTATCCGTCCAGTAACGACGTTCCTAAGATGATACAAGATGTCAAACCAGTTCTTGGAAAACCAAAGTCTATCATCTTTTTTGGCGCTGGCTCATGGCAACAATTTGATCCGCGGCCTATGAAGAAATATTCCTTAGCTGTAATCTCCTTACTTAAGAATGAAACTTGGCCAAAGTTGATATGGTCAGGTTTTCATTATTTTGGCCTTTTTCATCGGCGGTTTCACCCATCATCAGACAATGCTCACGTTGAAGTCTTTAACAGATATATGGAGGACCTGGTGGGAGGGTTCAATGTCTCTGTGTTTGATACCTTCAACATGACTAAAGGAGTCAGGAGCGTGGATGGCGTGCACTACGGCCCTGGGGTCAACTTCGTTAAAGCTCAGATATTCTTGAATTATGTTTTGGAATTACAGCGTCACGAAAAATGGACTTGACACAAATGTTGTATGCATGTAAGCATTCGAGTCTCGAGTTATAAGAAGCTATTTATTTATGAAGTTTTCTCCATGGTTGGAGAAAGAGATTATTTTGTCATGGTTCAGTAAATCACATTCAGGTTATCTCCCAAAACCCCTACATCCCATTTCCCCTACAACCCAGTTCCCCTACAATTAGTTAAAACAACACGCGGCATTTACCTGTCTGGTATTATGAACTCACCTAAAGGAGAGATTAAGGTCTGGAGTAGAGGTAGTAGAAATGAAAGGGGTAGAGCTTTAGGGGACTAGGAGAATTTTTTTTTTTTTTAAATAATGTAAGTGTAATGAAAGATGCCTATATGATGAGAAGACAATTTTAAAAAATTACAAAAATAACAATAGGAAGAAACAATTATTACACTGAGATGGACGATTTACAGTTGAGATGGCTAGGTTTAGTATATAGATACTTGAATCTGACTAACATGACATCAACATGTCTGGGCTTCGCTATGTTGAGTTTGTTATGTCACAGAGAGGAAAGCCCCAAGTCCTATTTGATGGTTATCTTCACACTAAGAACGTCGAGAGACTGACTTGCGTACACTGGAAGTGTGTCAAGTCCACATGTAGAGGAAGACTCACGACAGTAGGAACCGTGATAAGGAATGCTACAGAGGACACGTGGGTTGACGCAACGGACACCACACCAGATGTACCGAGAGCTGTCGCCTTCAACGACTACATCGTCACTACCTGGGTCGACCACGGAGCACGATTCCCCCTACCACTGTGGAACCATCACGGTACAACAGGTCCCAGGACGAACAACAACCTGGAAGGCTTTCATAACCGACTCAACCGAGGTCTCCCTCACCGACATCCCAACATCTACCGATTTGTGGAGGTAGTCAGGAAGGTGGAACAGGCAGAACGAGCTAAGATTTTACAGCTCGACTTTGGAGCAGCTCCAAGAGGCAGGAAGAGAGTGTACAGAGAGGTGGAGAACCGTCTTGAATAGACGAGTTGAATAGAGAGGTGAAATCCCCAATGCAGTTTCTAGATACGGTTGGCCATTTCCTCAGGCTCGGATAAAGAGTGAATTGAACATTTGAGATGAAATTTATTATAATGTATTATGAATTTTGAAAAATGAACATTTTGTTGTAATGTATTATGAATTTTGAAAAATGAACATTTTATTATAATGTATTATGAATTTTGAATAATATCGTAATTTAATATTTATCTCAATCTATTCGTGTTTCTTGGGTTGTTCCATTGTATGAAATAGGTAATAGACTAGGGATTAGCAGTGCCATGGACCGTGAACTTTGTTTTCTTAAGCTGTAGGGGAAATGGGATGTAGGGGTTTTGGGAGGTTACCCACATTCAGCCACTCATCCGTGTTTTGTCACACTCTGCTGACTGTGGGATAAAGTGAATCCACACAGCTGCACAGCGTCAAGAACACGTCAATTATTATACAATTATACAGATACGGTGAAAACGTTCCCACATTCCTGTGTCCTTCACATCCTGACCCGCGAAGATCCGGGGTAGAATAGGTCTTCAGCAACCCATGCTTGCCGTAAAAGGCGACTATGCTTGTCGTAAGAGGCGACTAACGGGATCGGGTGGTCAGGCTCGCTGACTTGGTTGAAGTATTATAGGCATAAAAGTGTAATATATATTTAGATAATTAACAAATAATTAAAGTAATTAATGAAGCATTAAGAGACATACTGATTATATAAAAGATCAAGAGGGGGAGTTGGGGTTGGTAAGTCGGGAATATATATAGGTATAATACAGGCAGCTCTGGTTAGTTGAAGACTACGGGAGCATGCCTGGCCACAAGCATCCAGAGTAGTAGGTCGAGGGCTATACATTAACGAAAAATGATTAGCAGATGAGGAAATAGATAAAGGGGTGGAATAGAGTTGGGAGGTACGGGAACGTCAGGGACTTGGGACATATATGGTATGGGGGGAAATAGTCCGAATTCCAAAAGGGTGAGAAGCTGCATTATGGCAAGTCCGAATAAGGTACTGGTTATTAGAGAAGAGTGGGGAAGAACGACCTAAGGTAAGGGGGGAAAGGTGTTTGACCAATGGAATAGGAAAAAAATGGGTAAGACCCGGGCGTAAGCTGGGGGGTAAAAAGACGGGTAGACTGGAGGATCCCAAATGAGCACCACGATCTCGACCTTACTCTTGAAAAACACCAGTTTACACCTCCAGTATTTCGGCCAGGACTGAAGCTTCGCGGCTAAAGTCCATAAACCATCGTGACCAATTCATGTTAAACTGCGGCATGGTATCTCAGTGAGCTAGCACTATAAATCGGCATCAGTCCGGACTAGAGAAAGCAGCCACACAAACACGCACACGTACATACACGTCGCTATATTAGTGCAATAATCTTGGACGCGACGTTAAACCCACGTCCGGACTGATGCCGATTTATAGATGCCAGCTCACTGAGATACTATGCCGCAGTTGAACATGAATACCTCACTCAGACACAGTGTACTGACTCCGAGCCGACCAGTCCTTGTTTTAGTCCCTTAATGCCGAGCGCCAGACAGGGTGACAACAAGTACCATCTTTTAACGTCGGACGCTCTACCACTAGACCACGGAGGCGGTCCACTGGGCCAGAGCAAGGTGTAGCAGGGGCTGTTTGTACTAGCCCAGACTCATATCGATTTTATAGTGCCACTGGGATCACAGGACACAGTTTGACATGAATATTCCACTCAGACACCGTCCTTCTTTAAGCCGAACGCCAGGCAGGGTGACACCAATTACAACATTTTAACGTCTTTCAAAATTGAGATGTATGAATATATACAGGCAGCAGGTGTAGTGACACATGCCCGACGAATCAAGGGATGAGTTTTTTTCTTAAGTTTTTTATAGAAGTGATGTACACAGTTGAAAAAAACAAATGTCCTAAAATAAAGACAAATTCAAGCAAATTCGTTTTTGAGAATTCACGTGGTAGTAATTCCACTTGTCCTCAATCAAACTTGGCACAACTTCAAAAATGGAATCAGCGTCTGTTTGGTAGACATATATAGACATGCACCACAACAATGCTCAGAAACAATACAGATTGTGACTGATCCTTGTCACTCTCTCAACAACACACTTACAAAATAACAGATATCGCACCTACAACATATATACATGATACAACTCTTTTCTACTTCATGCTCCTTTTTATTAGTTATCTCAGTTCCTGGTAGTCACGTGCTCTGACCTCCGAGGTAGATATCTCACTTCCTGGTACCCTCATGCTCTGACCTCTGGGGTAGATATCTCAGTTCCCGGCAGCCCCATGCTCTGACCTCCGGGGTAGATATCTCAGTTCCTGGTAGTCTCATGCTCTGACCTCCGAGGTAGATATCTAAGTTCCCGGTAGCCCCATCCTCTGACCTCCGGGGTAGATATCTCAGTTCCTGGTAGCCTTATGATCTGACCTCCGAGGTAGATATCTCAGTTCCTGGTAGTCTCATGCTCTGACCCCCGAGGTAGATATCTCAGTTCCCGGCAGCCCCATGCTCTGACCTCCGGGGTAGATATCTCAGTTCCCGGCAGCCCCATGCTCTGACCTCCGAGGTAGATATCTCAGTTCCTGGTAGTCTTATGCTCTGACCTCCGAGGTAGATATCTCAGTTCCTGGTAGTCTCATGCTCTGACCTCCGAGGTAGATATCTCAGTTCCCGGCAGCCCCATGCTCTGACCTCCGAGATAGATATCTCACTTCCTGGTAGCCTCCTGCTCTGACCTCCCGAGGTAGATATCTCACTTCCTGTTAGCCTCCTGCTCTGACCTGCGAGGTAGATATCTCAGTTCCTAGTAGTCTCATGCTCTGACCTCCGAGGTAGATATCTCACTTCCTGTTAGCCTCATGCTCTGACATCCGAGGTAGATATCTCAGTTCCTAGTAGTCTCATGCTCTGACCTCCGAGGTAGATATCTCACTTCCTGTTAGCCTCATGCTCTGACCTCCGAGGTAGATATCTCAGTTCATAGTAGTCTCATGCTCTGACCTCCGAGGTAGATATCTCACTTCCTGTTAGCCTCATGCTCTGACCTCCGAGGTAGAAATATCAGTTCCTAGTGGTCTCATGCTCTGACCTCCGAGGTAGATATCTCAGTTCCTAGTAGTCTCATGCTCTGACCTCCGAGGTAGATATCTCACTTCCTGTTAGCCTCATGCTCTGACCTCCGAGGTAGATATCTCAGTTCATAGTAGCCTCATGCTCTGACCTCCGAGGTAGATATCTCAGTTCATAGTAGCCTAATGCCACTTGCGTTGTGGGCCGAGTGGGCTACCACTCCAGAGGATGTGATTCGCATACTCGTCTCTTCCATGGGCAGGAGGTGTCAGGCTGTTTTAGATTCCAACGGGGGACATACGCGTTATTGATGGTAGTTGACCTTCACCATGGACCTTTCTTATGTACCGATAACTGAGATGACAACAATCACCAAGTGTTACACCTACTTGGGTTGTCGGGTCCAGATTTGAAGAGATCATATTACGACGATGTCGTATTGGCCATTCTCGTAACACCCATGAGTGTTTGTTGAAAGGTCTGCTTGCCCTGATTGACTGTTGATTTTCCATCACAAGGGATACTTATTTCAAATTATCATCTATTGAGGATCTTTAAATAAAATATTAGTTTCATTTAATACATTGAACTTATTGAACATTTTTGAAATATGTAGATTGTTATATTTTATAATATTGGTAGTGTATAATTTGTAACTTAGATGGTTAGTAGCTGTATCCTCAATTGGGTTGAAGTAGTGTAAAATCATTGTCCCCCTGAGAGGATATGGAAGATCACATCCTGCAAAGAACTTTTATTTATACCGGTTTTAATTGTAGTATCTTTGTAATTTTAATTGATGGCTAAACTCCGCCTGTACAAAGTGGGAGAAATTATCATGTATCATGCAAATTGCTTTAATTTGTTTATACTTTTCCTAACAGAATTAATTCTAGAATTGTCACAAGCGACAATTAAGTTATGCACATATTCAAATTCTGAAAAAAACCAGATGATTTGATTAAAGATGTCTTTTAGATGAATGTTTGCGATGGATATGTTAATATAGTCTGTCTATCTGTCAGAAAGAGAATAGTAGTCCCACAAATACATGCAAATTGCTTTAAAAAAAACTTATACTTTTCCTGAATTGTCACATGCGACACCTACGGTGGCTATGTTAATATAGAGCTGGCATTTATTTCTGTTTGAGGCTATCGCACAGTGCGTCTGTCTATCTGTCAGAAAAATTGGTGTCCCACAATATGTATCTACGAAGTGCTCACCCAATTCCAATCATACATTTACCATGGACACAATGTTATGTTGCCCAAAATTGAGATTTGGGGTTCATGGACCAAACTGTGATATATTTTATGTTGTTTGCTTTGACTTTTTTCATATTTAACGCTTCAATTAATCTACGGATGCAACCTAATTATGTTTTTTATCTCTTCTTAAAAATAAGTGGAGTGAATTGATTGTTCTTTTGCCGTGATACTTTGTATGTCAGTATATCACGACGACCGGTAAGCAAATCGACTTTTTGCCAGATAAACTCGGGATTTATACTGCACTTATACAGGTTCTAGTATCTGCTCAAATGCGGTTTATTTGTTCCACGACCACTGGATCCTTTTGCATTCAAGTTATCATGTTCAACCCCGAGGATAGTAGATAAGCCAAGCTGCCTACGGGCGCTAGAGGGTTTTTACATCCAGCTCACATATCGGGTACCCATCCCTGCAAGGTGGACAGGGGTACGGCTGAAATAAGTCACTTGCCCAGGGTGATACCACACGTTTTTTACACTTGTGTTTCGGGTGTATGAACGTGTTCATGTTTCCACATCTAGTCATCTACGATGAGTGGGTTTTTTTCTCAGTGCACAGCTGCATCACTTCGGGCTTTCCTCCCACATTAAGCTGACACGCCGCGATATAACTGGAATACTGTTAAAAGCGGCGTTAAACCCAACTCACTCACTCACTCACTCACTCAGTGCACAGGGCGAATGCGTATGCTGCAATTAATGACGACTGGGTAAGAGCCTGACAAATCGATCCAGTTTAGTCAAGTCTTTACTAAGAGAAGCGTACACATATGTTGTTTGGGATAAACGCCACCCCACGGGTCTCCCTTCTCACAACATAGTGAAACGGGGAAAAAATAAGACAATCTGTTGATATTGCAAATGGTTGATTACGATCTGGTAAGTTAGTAATAATATTAAGTCTTTGAGGGGCATTTGGAAGTGATACACATAAGGAAGAGAATTTCTGGATTTCTTTATTTTGATGAACACAACGTTTCGGGGCATATGTGTTCCTCATAATGAAGAAGCTGACATCTATAAATTCTCTTCGTTATGGGTAATAATATTAAAGTGAATAAGAAAAGTTGATAATCTTTTTCTCAATGATTGTTACTACATTTATTTCAGGTGGTTTCACTGAACATTTAAGAACATTCTACATTTCTGCTTCATCAATTTTGAGGAGTTTGTCCAGGTGAACCTACATTGTTCTATATGTTTGCTATTTGTGATACATTTGAAAGTAAATTATTCTGGGCACTTCCAGCAAATCTCAAACAACACGCAAGTTGATGAATGTTTAAACCAAATGTGTCCTGATTAAGGCTATCATGCGACTCAGATTACCATGCGACTTCAATGGCCTTCACCTTACATTTACTTCGTGCACATAGCAGGAATACCAGGTCAACAGAGCTGCCTGTGTCCGGGTTGGTGTATGGATCTTACAAATGCGTCTATGTAATTTATTTTGCATTTCAATATAAATATAATCTATAAAACACTTCACGAATGCTAATAATTCAGGTTTTTCATTGAACATTTCTTTACCTTCATTTCTATGTCCCCCGCCGTGATATTGCTGGAATATTGCTAAAAGCGGCGTAAAATCGTACTCACTCACTCACTCACTCACTCATTTCTATGTCATTAAGTCCATTTTGTCAGAGTGAATACAGCTTGGCTTTGGACACATAAAGTCATAAATTGTGTCAATGTCACATTAGATCACAAGGGACACACCGACACAAGAGACACATCGACACAAAGGACACATCGACACAAGAGACACACCGACACAAGGGACACTAGGACACAAGGGACACATCGACACAAGGGACACATCGATACAAGGGATACATCGACACAAGAGACACACCGACACAAGGGACACATCGACACAAGGGACACTAGGACACAAGGGACACATCGACACAAGGGACACATCGATACAAGGGATACATCGACACAAGAGACACACCGACACAAGGGACACATCGACACAAGGGACACATCGACACAAAGGACACATCGACACAAGGGATACACCGACACAAGGGACACTAGGACACAAGGGACACATCGACACAAGGGACACATCGATACAAGGGATACATCGACACAAGAGACACACCGACACAAGGGACACATCGACACAAGGGACACATCGACACAAAGGACACATCGACACAAGGGACACGTCGACACAAGGGACATATGGACACAAGGGACACATCGACACAAGGGACACGTCGACACAAGGGATACATCGACACAAAGGACACATCGACACAAGGGACACATCGACACAAAGGACACATCGACACAAGGGACACGTCGACACAAGGGACATATGGACACAAGGGACACATCGACACAAGGGACACGTCGACACAAGGGATACATCGACACAAAGGACACATCGACACAAGGGATACATCGACACAGGGGACACATCGACACAAGGGGCACATCGACACAAGGGACACATCGACACAAGGGACACGTCGACACAAGGGACACGTCGACACAAGGGACACGTCGACACAAAAAACACATCGACACAAGGGGCACATCGACACAAGGGACACATCGACACAAGGGACACATCGACACAAGGGACACATCGACACAAGGGACACATCGACACAAGGGACACATCGACACAAAGAACACATCGACACAAGGGGCACATCGACACAAGGGACATATGGACACAAGGGGCACATCGACACAAGGGACACACCGACACAGGGGACACATCGACACAAGGGGCACATCGACACAAGGGACACACCGACACAGGGGACACATCGACACAAGGGGCACATCGACACAAGGGACACATCGACACAAGGGACACGTCGACACAAGGGACACGTCGACACAAGGGACACGTCGACACAAGGGACACGTCGACACAAAGAACACATCGACACAAGGGGCACATCGACACAAGGGACACTAGGACACAAGGGACACATCGACACAAGGGACACATCGACACAAGGGACACATCGACACAAGAGACACACCGACACAGGGGACACATCGACACAAGGGACACATCGACACAAAGGACACATCGACACAAGGGACACATCGACACAAAGGACACATCGACACAAGGGACACATCGACACAAGGGACACGTCGACAAAAGGGACACGTCGACACAAGGGACACATCGGCACAAGGGACACATCGACACAAGGGACACATCGACACAAGGGGCACATCGACACAAAGGACACACATGGAACAGTCCGAGAAGCATGGATGAGTTTGTGACGCATGAACAGAACAGAACATTAACAAAATTAGCGAACTTGTTGTAACATGTATATTGTCAGTACTTTACAAAATTACAAATACTTTACATACTTTATGATATTAATGCTTTACAACTAAATAATTAAATATGTTATATGCTTCACAATTAAATTATTAAGTTATTACCTAAATAAACTTAAAGTCCTAGCAAAATAATTATTTTTGCACTGAGTGAGTGATTATGGTTTTACGCCGCTTTTAGCAATATTCCAGCATTATCACGGGAGCAGGAAAATGGGCTTCACACATTGTACCCATGTGCAGAATCGAACCCGGGTCTTCGGCGTGACGAGCCAACGCTTTAACCACCAGACTACCCCGCCGCCCCTATTTTGTACTAAGATGGTACTCGTGAGAATCGAATCAATTCTAACCGCATCACTCGATGAGATAAACAGTATATTTCATGATGTATAGCAAATATCCTCTAATATACAGGACGTATATTCCCTGCATGAAATCATAAAGCGAGGTCAATCACGTCTGTATGTGTAGTTGTGCGCGTGTACTTGTGGCGTGTTGGTTTACATCCTGAATATAATGTCATTTCATTTTTTGTACTAGCCGACTGACACACACTGTCACAGTCTTAAAACACGAATACCCCACTCGGAAACAGCACACAGTTCTTGTTGAATTCCCTTAATGCCCCAGCACCACAAAACAAGTACCACATCTTAACGTGTTTTAGAATGAGGCAGCCGAGGATGGTACCACCGACCTTCTCTGCAGGCAGACGCTCCATCTACAAGACAACACAGACGGTACCAAGCATAGCAACAACCGGTTGCAAACAATATGTTCGTTTGGGAGCTTTACGCCATGGAACATGCCGTATTTCGTGCTCTGAAGTTGTAATCATGCAGTCAATCAAAACACGTATCAAAATCACCTATTGTTTCCAGGTGTATTTGTAAACAAACGTGACGACTCCGACTAACTAAATTGTTTTTTTCTGTCTAAAACATTAAATACCCGTATTTCCTCTATTAGACGCCCGGGCTTCTGTTTATTTCGGACAAGCCTTTGACCCGGCGTCTATTAGAGGCCCGGCGTCTATTGGAGGCCCGGCTTCTATTAATACCCCCATTTCACTATGACCACGAATGTCCCGAATCGTCACGAAATGAAAATATTTTGTGTTCGTAGATATCCGTAGATATATCTCAATCAATTCTCGAGCCGTCGCCTATTAGAGGCCCGGCTTCTATTTTTGGCACTGAACAATTGACCCGGCTTCTAATAGAGGGAATACGGTACAAGAAACTTTGATGTGAGGCATCAGCACAGCAGCAAAATGTCTTTATTAAAATTGCAAAAAAGTAACTTTGCAAAAATATGAATATTTAAACCAAATGACTCCTCTTCAAGTTAATGGTGCGACTCCAGTAGACGTGGATATATATATATAATAAAAATAATAATAGAGAGAGAGAGAGAGAGAGAGAGAGAGAGAGAGAGAGAGAGAGAGAGAGAGAGTGTGGGGGGGGGGGGGGGGGGGGGTTACTGCAAACATTCACTTTATATATATATATATATATATATATACCAAAAAAATGTTCACTCGGTGTAGATGCAATAAATAATAAAATAATAAAGTCCAACTAACGTTTGTTGGATTAACGTGGAATGAATTAGACTTTATTATTATTATTATTTCTATTATATATATATATAGAAATAATAATAATAATAAATATAATAAAAATAATAAGAGAGAGAGAGAGAGAGAGAGAGAGAGAGAGAGAGAGAGAGAGAGAGAGAGGGAGAGAGAGAACAACAGTCCATATATTTGTCCTTCTTGCACATAAGTACTTTTGCCGCTTTTGTTACAAAACTTAGTGAACACAGATTCTTTAAAGTATCTATATTCAAAGGTTCATGACAATTTGTTTCTTGCAGATCCGTTTCTTTATCCATATGAATAGGAATTTCTGCTCGGATTGGCGAACGAAGTCAACACAAGGTAATTTGGCCAAGAAGTGTAACTTAAGTGTTAGTATATCGATGATCTGATATCGTTCAATAACCACCAAATAGCAAATACCTTTCCACTGATTTGCCCACCTGAATTAGAAATAAAGTGTTTTTTTGGTTTTAGTTTGTTGTTTAACGCCGCACTCAGCAATATTCCAGCTATATGACGGCGGTCTGTAAATAATCGAGTCTGGACCAGACAATCCAGTGATTGATATCATGAGCATCGATCCTCGCAATTGAGATCGATGACATGCATCAACCAAGTTAGCGAGCCTGACCACCCGATCCTGTTAGTCGACTTTTACGACAAGCATAGTCGCCTTTTACGGCAAGCATGGGTTGCTGAAGACCTATTCTACCCCGAGAGAGACGTCCTCATCTATTTCATGTCTTGATTTATGCACACAGAGGTTACAAGTTAAATTCAAGGTTACAACATCGAACGCCTCAGTAATTTTTTCTAAATGTTTTCAAAAGTGACGCATCAGTGACATAAATAATGTATATCCTCCCGTGTGTTTTTTTAGATCACCAATTGACATGCCTTTGGGCGTGTTTGTGACGGGTGCTATCGGTGGGGCAGTATACAGTGAAACGATAATACCCATTGTTTTCTTACAAGAGCATATTAATTTTGATGGCAATTAACATTAACCCGAGTCCATGATAAACCCCAGTCACTTGAGAATATCAATGTGTCTCTTTGAGATTACTTAAGATAACTGGGGGCACGGGTGGCCCAGTCGTCTAAGGCGCCACGATTCGCTGTGCAGAGTTGTGTCCCTTGGGCACACTAGAAACCTACGATTGTGGGTTCGAGCCGGGATTCACACATCAGGACATGGTACCTTGTTCAACATCTTAGACATATACAAGCAGCTGATTTGATGAATAACTGTTAACACCCAGTATTAGATCCATTGACATTACATATGGAAGAATACATGTAAGTTAACACAGCAGCTGATGACGTGTCTAAAGCACCGATAAACCTAATGACTGAGAATCTTATGATAATTGTATCCTGATTCGTGGTTTGTCAACAGCGACCTTTGCTCCTTCATATTAACAAAGTGCTCAATTTATAAGATTGGTTGGTCGGTTGGTTTGTTGTTTAACGCCGCACTCCAGCAATTTGACGGCGGTATGAAAATAATCGAGTCTGGTCCAGACAATCCAGTAATTGATATCATGAACATTGATCCACGCAATCGGGATCGATGACATGCATCAACCAAGTCAGCGAGCGTGACCACCCGATACCGTTAGTCGCCTCTTACGGCAAGCATGGATTGCTGAATACCTATTCTACCCGGACCAATTAATAAGAACCAATTGTCTTCGAGTTGTTATTCGACATTAACCTGACACATTGTGTAAATAATAACACATCTTTAATGGAAGATATCTGGTACTCTCAGCATCAAGAAAGTAACAAAAAACAAAAAAACAAAAAACAAACAATAAGCAGAATGATTTTAGGAAGCTCACATCTGATTTGCTCAAGAACTCAGACAATATGTCACCTGAATGAACAAAAGCGACAAAGGGGTCGCAAGTTCTCGATACATAGGGGGCGGTCGGGTAGCCAGGTGGTTAAAGCGTTCGCTCGTCACGCCGAAGACACGGATTCGATTCCCGACATAGGTACAATGTGTGAAGTCCATTTCTGGTGTCCCCCGCCGTGATATTGCTGGAATATTGCTAAAAGCGGCGTTAAACCATACTCACTCACTCGATACAGAGAAGAATCCTATTGGGGTAAAAGACATGATTTGTAATAAGACAGGGTGATGTCAAAGTTTGTCTCTTTAACTGAAGGAGAAACTAGGACGTGATACATAGCTTCGCTAGCGTGTGTAAGGACATGATGCTTGCCTTAAGGTATCAGTTCCAAACCCGAGGTCATCGACAAAATTATTAGATAAACTGCATGCTGCGGAGAACATCTTTCTGGAATGCAGCACTTTCTAAAAATTACTTCTCATTGTGAAAAACCCACAAACATCGATTTGCACAGTGACACGCTTAAAAAAAATATTAAGTTTTAAGACGTTGTGTTTCTCTGTACAGGTTGGTAAAACAAACCGATTGTCATCATCATTGTCTACATCCTCTCTTGGACCAGGATGGTAATTAACCTGTTTCCTTTGTCCAGCAACCTCACTAGGTGTGTGTGAGTGAGTGAGTGAGTGAGTTTTAGTTTACGACGCTTTTAGCAATATTCCAGCAATATCACGGCGGGGTACACCAGAGATGGGCTTCACACATTGTACCCATGTCGGGAATCGAACCCAGGTCTTCGGCGTGACGAGCGAACGCTTTAACCACCTGGTTACCCGACCGCCCCCTAGGTGTGTGTGACTGCAGTAACGGTGAACTGACTTTTTGCTAGATAGCTATATTACCCTTTAAACGTTGACGAAGTGCAGAAATAGATAATTATAGTTATAGTATAATTATGGTACAATCCGATCACACCTTATATTCACAATCACAAAAACAAATGTTAATTGCATACTTTTTTATTTAAAAATAATATTTTTCATTTCCCTGATCAGATGGTCTTTCACCAAGATCGATCACACGAGGGGTGCCTGGAAACTACTGATAGTAACCCTGGGTACCACACCTGGATGATATTGTGAGATTTTAGGCAAATATGGGCTGGGATCTGGTATCTTGATTTCCAACGGTAATACTGTTAAAAGAGGCGTTAAACCCAACTCACTCACACTCCAACGGTAATACAAGGGAAGTTTGCTTGGATCTATTAAACCATGACATCTCCCAAGCAGACAGGGAGGTGTGTTTGGGTAGGTTATAACTGGATTACTCATCAGGAAACAACCGAGGACGCTTTGTCCTTCCAGACGTTCCACGGAAAGTATGGTTGGATGTACTTGGGTTCTTCATCGGGAGACAAGTAAGAGGTTCATTTGCCAATCAGACATGGATCCCCACACGCAGACAGGCAA